AGCCTGAAACCCGCACATCCGGTGGAAGACCATTCCACAGCTGAGGAGCTCTACAGGAGAAAGCTCTGCAGCCTGCCGTAGCTCTTTCTACCCTAGGTACTAACAGATATCCTGCGCCTTGAGAACGAAGCAAGCGCGGGGGGTTATATAAGGCCAGCAGATTGCTAAGGTATTCTGGTGCAAGGCCATTCAGTGTTTTGTAAGTTAATAGCAGTATTTTATAGTCAATCTGAGACTTAACTGGTAACCAATGAAGGGAGGATAAGACTGGTGTAATGCGATCAAATTTTTTAGTGTTTGTGAGAATTTTGGCTGCTTCATTCTGTACCAGCTGAAGTTTATGTGAGGATCCAGACAGGCAACCAGAAAGGAGGGCATTACAGTAGTTCAGTCTGGAAGTTACAAAGGCATGTATTAATTTTTCTGCCTCATTAAGTAAGAGCATCTTACGAAGCTTGGCTATGTTCCGTAGATGATAAAACGCTGTTCTAGTAATACTTCTTATGTGAGCATCAAAACATAGATCTGAATCAACTAGAAGACCAAGCTTTCTACCCACTGTGTTAGGTTGTGTAGGAAGGCCACTAATGCTGAGGTGGTGAAACTTATTTCTTGCAGCATTGGGACCAATTATCAGTACTTCTGTTTTGTTTTTTTAGTTTAACATGTAGCAGGGTGGAATTTTGGGGTAGGACTTGATTATTTCCGGTAGGGGCGTGTACTTTACGCACTTTGTAGTTATAAAATGGCAAACAGATGACACCTATAGTGTGGCGCCGTCATTGGCGTTTCTCGATTCGGTAACTCCCCCTCCTGGACTGCAGTGGCTTGGCGTGGTATGGTGGCACGCTGGCTGTGTCTTACATTTATTGTGTGTCTTGGCGTATTGTGTGCTCTGCGTGTGTGATTGCGTTGCAGCTCCAGGATTATGATCTCAATTAGTCATCTGCTTCAGTGTCGCTGCTGTTTTGTTAGTTACTGTAATGTTGCGCTGCTTTATTTGGTTAATCGTCCAGTCCGTGAAGAAGGCATTCAAGTAAGAATTGCATTGCAGTATGACTCATTTCCTGGTGCGTACAATTTATATTAAGTCAGCGTTCAAAGTTCGACTTCTGATATTCAGATCGAGTTCAAGGTCAAACTGGTTTGTTCGACTTTCAAGAAATTCAAGTTCTAGTGAGTTCGAGAACCGAGGTACCACTGTATATATAACTGTGTATCATCTGCATAACAATGAAACCCAACAAGATGATTTCTAATAATGTTACCAAGAGGTAGCATGTATAGAGTACTTTGACAACAAGAGAACCAGAGTATTCAAATGGATGTATGTTTTCATTTGTATTTCAACTTGTTTGTCATTTGTCAGAAATTAATGTTACTTTTAGCTAGACAGCAAGAGATGATGAAGCTGTTTAATCTGACTTTGTGTCTGTAGATGTGCCGGGGTCTTCCTGTCACCCCTGAAGCTGGATTTGGACCCAGAATTTCTGTCAGTCCACACTATTATTTTGAAAATGTGAGGAAGATGGTTTCTGAACTGAAGGATCAACTGGAGAATGTCTGCAAAAAGAAAACAACAGAGATCCATCAAACAGGTTAATAAATACATATTCTTGTCTGTTCATGTTTAGTACAGACCAGGTAGAGAGAGTACACAGTCAGCCTCACATTTTTGTGACCAAATCAGTTTCTGTTTCCAATAAGATGAAATCTTTCAGAAAATAGTAGGAATCATGTTTCTGCAAAATGATACATTTAAAAAACCTGGAGAAATCTGTATTGAGTTTCACTCAGAATGATTATTACATTTTTAAAATGCCCCCATAATGTTAATACCCTAGTGCTGGTGTCTCCACAGTGAGTGACGTCCATCTGCCACAAGTAAATTCCTTGTACTTACATCCCCGTTTCTCTCTGTCTCTTCTAGTTGCCAAAGACGCCATCTTACCAGTGTCAGTGCCCAGGACCAGAGCAGAATTTTTAGAATGTGAGTCTGTTCACACACACGCTTCTCTCTCCCTGTATGAGGTGGAGTGTGTTTTATTGTGTTTCGTTTTCTTCTGCTAGGGGAGCTTCTCTTTCTCTCTCCTGCTGCCTCCTGGTCTTTCACATTTACAGGAGCTGTTTACATCAATGTGTTTACAAAAGTAACTGCTGATGATTAATATTATTTTGCTTGTCATTTTGTTCTCTGAGATGTACGTGTTGTGAATATGACCATATAAGCATGAAAGGGTAAACATATATTTATTTATACATACTTTTCAAAATACCTTTCCAAGAATTAAACTAAAAAAGTGAACACCCTTCTTTAATATAAGGAGTGAATAAGACCAAAACATCACCTTCTGATCTTCTCCTCCATCAGATTCCTGTCAGCTCACTCTGGACCCCAACACAGCAAACAGACACCTCCATCTGTCTGAGGGGAACAGAGTGGTGACATGGAAGAAAGAGAAACAGTCATATCCTGATCACTGGGAGAGGTTTGACTCATTCTATTATGTCCTGTGTACAGAGGGTCTGACTGGGCGCTGCTACTGGGAAGTTGACTGGAGCGGGGATGAAGTGAGTATAGGTGTCACATATAAAGGAATCAAGAGGAAAGGAGAGGGTAATTCTAGCAAGATTGGATACAATGACAAGTCCTGGCGTTTGCGCTACTCAACCTCCAGTGACTCATTCTGTCACAATAAAGTGAAAACTGCAGTATCTGCCCCCCCCTCCCCCAGGATAGGAGTGTACCTGGATCACAGGGCAGGAACTCTGTCCTTCTACAGCGTCTCTGACACAGTGACCCTCCTGCACAGGGTCCAGACCACGTTCACTGAGCCCCTCTATCCTGTGTTTCAGCTTTATAAAAGTACAGCAAAACTGTGCTTTTATAAGAAGTAAGAAGAGAAACATCTATTTGAATTTGGTGTATTTAACCTTTTGTCTGAAGAGTGGAAATAATGAATATGAAAATAAATACAATAAAAGTACAATTTACAGATTTCTCATAATTTATGCATAGATTCACTAGACCTTAGCCAGTAGTGCAGACTTAGATTTTCAAACCTCCCTAAATATATATATACACACACACACACACACACACACACACACACAGACACACACACACACACTATACTGATGGCTGTTTGGTTAGCATTAGCAGAACAACAGGAACACTTTGATGCTTCTGTCTTATCTGCAGTTAAAGCAGTGATGGACAGTGTGGTATTGCTGCAACTGGCTGAGCTGAAACTTCAGATTAAGCAAGCAAATGACGCTGTGCATAATAGCACAACCAATGTTGAACAATTGGGCAAAGTCATGAACAAAAGTCAGTCTCGAGTCGACTCTCTCCAAGCAACATTGCGCACTAACAACCGAGACAGAGACCAAAATGGGCTAATGGCATCCCTCACTTATAAACTCACCGAAACGTAGGACAGGAGCTGAAGATCCAACTTGAGACTTAGGCTTAGCCGAATCAGCTGAAGGCTCAGATGCCATCGGGTTTTTGAAAACACACCTACCACAGTGGATTCCTTCTCCGGCCACATGCGAGATAAGAGGTGAGAGAGCACACAGATTGCACAGCACAGATGAAAAAAATAAGAACCGTCCTCGCACACTCATTTTTAAGTTGCAGGACCATGCTGACTGTCAACCCATCTTGAAGGGAGGTCTTTCCCATTATCCGCGACCGGCGAACTCTATCCTTTTTTTCTGACTACAGCGCCGCAACAGTCATAAAATGAATGGGGTTCAACTACGTGAAAAAGAAAATGACCTCAGTCAGTTTGAAACCATTTCTTATATACCCAGCACAGCTCAAACTGAACTCAACACGACACCTATAACTTTAAGTCACCGGAGGAAAGGGTGCAGATTCTCTGCACTGTCCAGGCATCCATAGTGTCTCCCTCTACGGCCTCTTCAACAGCGTCACTTCCAGCTGTCCTGGCTAATGTAGCGGCTCTGAACCCCGATGACCAGTGCAGCGGCATGGAGAACTCTGGTCCGGAGATGCATACATACCAGCCTCAAGATTAACAACATTTTATGTAACGGTACCATCGACACAGCTGTCTCTCTGGAATGAGATGCAGATAGGGGTAGCAGGTTGTATCACATACTTTTAATTAGGAGGACATTGCATAGGGTATTGTTACATTGGTACTGACAAACTAGTCATGACTATTGGATTTGATTATATGGCATTTGGGTTTGGGATTGTTTGTGTGTTGCGGTTTAATGAGTCACAGCTCATAGTAAATTTACTTTTTTTAAGCCTTGGGGTTTAAGTTTACTGGTTTAAGTTACTGGTTTAAGTTTACTGCTGTTCCCTGGCGGCTTGTTACCCCTCTGTACTTATCACTTTTGCCGTCATCTTCTTTTTCATGTTCTTGTTTTCAGAAGTCTTTTACAATGGGAACGCTGACTGTTCCAGTTTAACTGTTAAAACGTGGGACGTAGTATATGTAGTGTCACAGATTTCTCTGATTTCTTTTTATTCATCACATGGGTGACATTAACATAGTCAAAGGTGGCATGTCAAAGGCCTCAATTCGCCAATTAAACGCACTAGGGTTTTAGAATTTCTGCGGCGTCACGGAGTATCAATCGCTTTTCTCCAAAAGACACACGTCAGACACGATTCCAAAATAGGCGTTTTAAGGTTATAGCGCACTCATGTGCAAATACTAAGTCAAAGGGCGTTTTGATTCTTGCAGGTAGACGTTTGCAAATACATTTAGACCACACAGAAGATAATGGTGGTAGATTTGTTTTGCCGGCTGGCACTTTCAATAACACACGGCTCTATCTTCCATTTACGCATCTAATGACTTCGACCCTATGTTTCTGACGTCAATTCAGAGTAGTTTGCTACAATTCCCTGAGACTCAACTTATACTGGGTGGTGACTTTAATTCTGCTACAAATCCTACATTAGACCGTTCGCCTGGGAATGCCTTTGGCCTAGCCTCTTCAAATGCATTCAAAGACTTAAATCTAGTAGACATATGCCGAATAGGTAATAATAAGAATAACATATATAATAATAAGAGTTCTCCTTCTATTCAACACGCCATCAGACTTATTCCAGGATTGATTACATCTTTGTTTCCACTTCTGTGATTAATAATATTGTGTTAAAATGCTGCCTATTCTTCTTTCTGACCACTCCTATTATTTGTAACTTTATTCCTCCTGGCCATCCTACACAAATGAAAAGATGTTGTTTTAACACCAGCCTATTAACTAATTTGGATTTCATGGAGTGCCTTATCCCTCCAGAAATCTGAATTTATTCTACACAGAACTAGACAGAAATATTATTTCCATGGAAATAGACCTAGCCGGCATCTTGACTGGAGGATCAATAAATGCTAGCAGAGACAAACAGGGTCAATTAATAACAAATCTGTAGCTGCTTGGAAACATTTAGTGTTTTAAGTTAACTGAGTTCCTTAGAGGCCAATGATGCATGTTTGTAATATTTTCTCATTCTTTGTCTTGTTTTCTTTTTTACCATTCACCTATAACCCATGTTATTGTTATTTTTATCATTTTTGTTATTATTATTATTATTATTTCTATTGCTTTCTGGGTATATATAATTTTTTATATCTAAAAAATATTTTAAATTTTTTTATATAATGTGACGTACAGCTGTTTTCCCCTTGCTTGGACTTCAGTTTGTTAGTGTGATGACGATCAATGTTTGGGTGTTTCCATTTTGTGTTCTTACTTTCTTTGTTGCAGAATCTCTTAATAATAAAATAAGTTAATCACAAAAAAAATTACTTATCCAGATTGAGCATTTATATGTGGAAATAACAAAACTTATTACAAAATAAAAATCAATAATTTCCTAAATTTTTTGTGAAATTTCTGTGTAGTGACGCCAAAGCTTGCTCTCACTTGTGTAGGTGTCTGTGTGTATTCCATTAAAATAATACCAGGTTTAATTAGCAAATGTTTTTGTCAAAGAATACTTCTTATGCAGTCATTTATACTTTTTATTGGTATTAAAATCAGTATAAATTCATCAGTTGTGATTTTTTTCATGTATGATATCTGTATGAATAATTGACAATGATTGCTTTAATGTGGATAATCCTGGAGTTTTAAAATAATATACGTATTTTACACAGTTACAATTTGGAAAACCAATTAATTAATATGACATTAAAGCAGTTTATGTTAGTTTCTTACTTTGAATATTATTCTACATGTTGACATTATATAAATATATACAAACGTGTTCCCTGTGCTTCCTGGGATAGACTCACTGATCTGTATAAAGAGGGGTTTATACTCAACATGTTTATACTCAACATCTCCCTCTGGAAGAGTGTACTATGGACCTTGAACCACGATATTAACATTTTTTAAATGAAAATTACCTTGTAATTATGGGAGGTATTTTCTGCAAAAAATAAAATAAGTTTTAATTATGTCAAGGAGAGGATCAACGTGCAGAGATGGCTGTTTTAATGAAACACACAAATCATGCTCAAAAAACAAATAAATTCGTAAGCAGGGATACAAGAGATTGAAACAAAACACAGGTACAGGCAAAAACTCACTAATGGGAAGGCAATCAGCGAGGCAACTANTACAGCTGTTTTCCCCTTGCTTGGACTTCAGTTTGTTAGTGTGATGACGATCAATGTTTGGGTGTTTCCATTTTGTGTTCTTACTTTCTTTGTTGCAGAATCTCTTAATAATAAAATAAGTTAATCACAAAAAAAATTACTTATCCAGATTGAGCATTTATATGTGGAAACTTATTACAAAATAAAATTCAATAACTTTCTAAGTTTTTATGTGAAATTTCTGTACAGTGACCCCAAAGCTTGCTCTCAATTGTGTGGGTGTCTGTGTGTATTCCATTAAAAATAATATCAGGTTTAATTAGCAAATGGTTATTTCTGTCAATGAATACTTTTTATGCAGTCATTTATACTTTTTATTGGTATTAAAATCAGTATAAATTCATCATTTGTGCTTTTTTTCATGTATGATATCTGTATGAATAATTGACAATGATTGCTTTAATGTGGATCATCCTGGAGTTTGAAAATAATATACGTATTTTACACAGTTAGAATTTGGAAAACCAATGAATTAATATGACATTGAAGCAGTTTATGTTAGTTTCTTACTTTGACTATCATTCTACATGTTGACATTATATAAATATATACAAACCTGTTCCCTGTGCTTCCTGGGATAGACTCACTGATCTGTATAAAGAGGTTATCAAACATGGGTTTATACTCAACATCTTTATACTCAACATCTCCCTCTGTAACAGTGGACTATGGACCTTGAACCACGATATTAACATTTTTAAAATGAAAATTACCTTGTAATTATGGGAGGTATTTTCTGCAAAAAATAAAATAAGTTTTAATTATGTCAAGGAGAGGATCAACGTGCAGAGATGGCTGTTTTAATGAAACACACAAATCATGCTCAAAAAACAAATAAATTCGTAAGCAGGGATACAAGAGATTGAAACAAAACACAGGTACAGGCAAAAACTCACTAATGGGAAGGCAATCAGCGAGGCAACTAAATGCTGAGAAGCAAAGAGACCAAGGAACAGCAAACACGGGTCAAATGTGGCACAACAATGGATATCACAAGAAATGCTGAGTACAGTGCAGATACTCAATACATCAGTACTTCACAGTGGGCTAGTGGAGTAGCTGGGTTGTTTAAATAAGTGACAATCATGTGAAATGAATTGCAGGTCAGGTCAGGTCAGGTCTCATCACATTAGAGTCAGCAATCGCACCCAAGTCTGCAAGTTCAGTTCAATTCAATTTAATTAGATTCAATTCAATTCAATATATTTTTATATAGCGCCTTTCACAACAGAGTTGTCCCAAAGCGCTTTACATGAATGTGTTGTGATACATAAAATGTCATTAGAGAGAGATACAGAAGGGGAAAAAGGAGGAAAAAAGGAAGGAAGAAATTAAATAAAGCCAGAAGAGAACGGAGGAGAGGAACCAAAAAAAAAACCTCTGGGGATCCCCCCCCCCCCTCCCCGGGCACTAACATTACTGAAACAGACAAGATTGGACATGCTTGCTAAAAGGGAGGTATAAACTGTGATTAAGAATGAACACAAAGTCCATCAATGAGTTTGTTATACATTTTGGCCTGTGAAGGGTGGCCAAAGTCCATCAATAAGTCATTTCTTCAGACTGGGCAGTGTCAGGTGGCCATGAAGCCTGTGCCCACGATGATACAGTTCGTAGGTCCCATTGGCAGTGTTTCCCCTCCATGGGACTGAACCAGGACTCCAGCTCAGATGGTGCCCACCCCGGGCCATGTGGGAAGGCAGAGAGCGTGGATGGTCAGAACATGTGCTGACACATAAATGGACAAGCATACCAGTAAAAATGACAGGTAAGCTAAACTGAAGTAATGGGTCGAGATTCAACCCTCTGGGGTCTAGGGGTAGGGAACACACTTTCACTGACTGGGGCATGGTCACACATTTCATTCAACATCATTATCATTCAATATAGGGGGGGCTATGCTGGTGAGGCTTGACACAGGTGTGATTGGTCTGATGTGGGTGTGACTGACACAGGTTCTGTGAAAGTCAGCTCTTTTAGCTGACACCGTTCAGTTATGAATAGTACATTTCATACAAGCTCATTGGTGCCACATAAACCAATAAAATGTCAATTTCTCACTTAGATGAACAAAGTCACTGAGTAATGTGGTCAGTGTTAAACCAACAACAGATGATTTTCTCATACAGAAAACATAAATGGTACAAACAGATTGACACAGGTGTGTGTATCCCCTAATATTTCATTTGGATTAATTGACATGACGTCGACGCTGAAAATGCGTCAACATTGATATTTTTGTCACGCCCTGCATCTCTTCCCCCTCGTTCTCTCCTTTGTGTGGCTCTAATGAGCCACACTTGTTACTTGTTTAATCTTACCTCTCATTTCAGCCCTCGTGTGGATCACCCCAGGTGCCTCTCGTCTGCTCCCTCACGTGTCCTTCAGTCCTGCGATCCCCAGTCCAGTCATTGATGTTGCTGCCTGTATGTGCTCCCCAGTGCGCCCTGTGTTCCCGCCTGATCCTCCCGGTTCCATTTTAACCCCTCAAGGTCCATTTCCTTTGCCCTGCTTGTAGTTGCATCAAATAAAGCAACTTTTAGTTTTCCCCCATGTACACTTTCGCCTCCCTCCTTGCCTTCGACATGACAATTTTAAATCGACAAATTGTTTTTTTCAATTTTTATGAAATTATACCATTATGATTTCGAAAACGCTTCATTATAATAAATGTTTTCCTTCAATATCACTGCGTAATTATGAGAGTAGTTCAGTTGTACACTGTGCAAAGTTTCGATGGCATACCATGACGGCACTAGCACTAAGCACGAGGACCTGAAGTGAAAACACGTAGGCACTATTCTGGTTGATGGGCCATAAGAGTAGCCAAAACCACCCCAAGTGTTGTTTATTTGTGCTTATTAAATTACCATTAGTATGGAGAACTTTTAAATATCTTTTGTCTTTGTAGCTGCCAAATACACATTATTAAAGCCATAAAGTTGTCTGCCTGCTATGTTAGAATCTCCATGGAATAAGTGTTTGTGAAAAATTTTCGGCTAAAATTTGGGCTTATTCTACGTTGACTGACGGTACTGGAGTGTGTTCGTGCGCATTGGCCTTGTTAGAGCCAGTGTTATCTTAAACTAAAACTGAAAGGTAAATGGACATAAAAAAAATCATAATTTGTGAACTGAAATAAAAATGAAAACTATTTAGCAAACAAAAATAACCTTTCGGCATCACAATATGGGTCTCATTAACATTTTAGGCATACTACTAATCTGATTATTGAATTGTGCATAAAAATAATGTCTGTATAGTTCCGAAAAGCCAGAGTCAATTATCTAAAGTCCTGCAATGACATACAGTTTGTTATTGTCAAAATAAAATAAAATTAAACGGTCAGGTTAATTTTCTGGAGGAAAACAAATCGTTTAGATTAATTGACCAATCAGTAAAATAGTCGATAAATTAATCAGTAGAAAAATAGTAGCAGCCCTAATTGCCCCAAATAAATGTTGTTGAGTTCCCCCCAATATCAAACAATCTCCTATGCCATTGAGTATGTGTGTGTGTGTGTGTGTGTATGTCTAAGGAGTGAATCTGATGTTATCCCATGCATTACATTTTATAATTTAGGTCTTATGTGTTTATTTCTCCTAGAACTTCTTGTGAGTTACACAGGTATATTTTTTTTTGCTATTTAAATGAGTAATTTGATTGTTTTGCCATTTCTTTAGGCATTCTGAATTACTATGACACACACATATCATGCTCAAAAAAACAGATGATTTTCACATTTATGTGTAAGTTGTATACTGTTGTGAATTTGTGATAAATTGCTAATGTTTGGAAGCAAGAGATTGTCTCCCTTCTTTATTGAAATGCATTTATTTTTTTTGCTTAAAAAAACACAATTTAACATAAATATTAGTAGGGGTGATGATGATAGGTTAAAAGAAAAGCATTGTCTTGAAAATGGTCTTGATATTTTCTGGTCTTCTGGGCTCAGTGTCGACCTCCCCAAAATCTTGACTCAGACTCTACGCTAAATGTGGTAAGATCTAGACTTACCACATTAGGTAGGGAGATGCCTATTTCTACCTACTGCTCAGACCATCTGACCAAAAACAGACATTGTTGGACTCCGGCACTCCACCAGAGGGTTCTACATTCTGTCCTATATCTGCTGACCCCTTAGGCCTAGACTCAAACATCTCCATCCTTTTCCAGGATTATTCAGTACTGTCTGACTATTTAATACATTGGCTACCAGTGACAGTCGGTACTCCATTTACCAACATTACTCCTGTACTGTTTCTACACCCTGGATGGTCTTCTGACACTTTGGACCCTTCAGTCACTGCTTGTAGTTACTAGTTAGACTTTTTTGATTGCATTCACAGATCTTTGTGGGGACCTGAAAAATGGTCCCCATAATGTTAAA